TGCTTGTTTTCCGTGTCTAGTTGTGGTTCTTGGTGCCTTCATTTGGGTCATGTTAACAGAGATAGTATTTACAGTTTCATAAGTAATTTTTAATAGTTCTTAAGACATGAGCAGTTTTAAACATTGGTTTCCACCAAATGGAAGCGTGGCCTTAAAGAGGAAGAAGATGCAACAGCAAAGGGAACAAGAACAGGCGTTTTGGGTGGCCTTTACTTCCCCACCTGGCCTGTAGTGGTCACAGGTAATTGTTAACCACTAAGTGTCTTGGATACGGTTTATGTGTTAATGTAGTGAATCCAACTTTACATGTCAAAAACTCAAAATCACCACATGGTACCATCTGAAGGCATCGACAACTTAGACCAGGTTGTTATAAAAACTGACTTCCTTTTGACTTTAGGAACATTTAAATAGAATTTCTCGATTGGTTTGTGCAGAACTGACTTCAGGGTGAATTATTGCCTCTCAGTCCATCTCAGCTAACACGCACCAAACATCAGCGGTTTGGATTCTTTCTAAACGTCCATATTCTACCATCTCAACGTGTCGTTTTATTCCCTCGTATTAGTGATGCTTCTGATCCTGCGTTTTACATGTATTTATATTTTGTAATTCTCTGTATTCTGACCTGTGAGACGTCATAAGAAAAGTGAATCCGCAAACATATAAAGAGATCTCCAGCACTACACGTGTATTGTATTTGTCTAATAAGGAAACGTAACGTACACCATTTACATCATTTTTATGAAACTGTTATCCCGCCTTGTGGTCCATGAAATGCTTTTCCATATATGAAAAATAAATGACTAGTATAATAAACTAAATTCAATTTCTCAGCTGCCTGTGATGTTTTTTTTTTTTTTTAAACAGAAAATGACAAGCATTAACCTAAAGGGTCTAATCGCTTTAATTTAGTGCATCGTCCATTATCATTCTTCATTTCATTCTTTCTTTCCCTCAGGTGTACCTCGAAAGAATTCCATCTATCCATTATCTGTACACCGCTTTATCCTCACTAGGGTCGCGGGGGGCTGGAGCCTATCCCAGCTGACTCAGGGTGAAGGCAGGGGACACCCTGGACAGGTCGCCAGTCTATCGCAGGGCCACACAGACAGACAATCAAGCACACTCACATTCACACCTACAGACAATTTAGAATTACCAATTAACTTCAACATGTTTTTGGACTGTGTGGGAGGAAGCCGGAGAACCCGGAGAGAACCCACGCTGCACGGGGAGAACATGGAGATTCCACGCAGAAAGATCCCGGGTGACGTGAACCGGCGACCTTCTAGCTGCGAGACAACAATGCTAACCAACTGCGCCACCTTGCAGCCCTCCAAAGAATTCACAAGCTGAAAACCTATTCATGACTTTGACTCTCCCAAAGATGTCTGTTCACACATAACAGTCAGCAGCATTCATTATGTGCTTTCGACAGTCCAGAAACATACTGAGGTTAATTGGTGATTCTAAATTGTCCGTAGGTGTGAATGTGAGTGTGCTTGGTTGTCTGTCTCTAAGTGTAGCCCTGTGATAGACTGGTTACCTGTCAGCTGGGATAGACTTCTACCCCCCATGACCCTAGTGAGGACAAAGGTGTAGACATGATGGATGGATTTTATTTAGAGGGTGAATGATGCCCGTGTGGGTTACACCCTTTTATCAAACTAGGAAGTGCTGCTCAGCCGAGTTCTTCTTTTGAGTCTTGTGGGTTTTTTGTGGTGCTCTGGTTCCTATTTGCTTGTGGTGTGACACAGATTGACCAGGCAGCCTTTCTTCATGCTACCTGTTGGTGATGTCACTGCCATGTTGTTCTCATACAGCCACAGACATCATCATTCCTTTCCCACATTGTACTGGTTCAGCATCAGCTGTGGTTGAGCAGCTTCATGTTTGACACTGGAAGGCACACAGCCTGTTACCACATGGCTGTTTCCAGGTCAACGCTAATCCTCCTCAAGCTTCTTTTCTCCTCATTAGCCATCTTACCCGCTCCTTTACCAGCTGAGCACACAATGAAGCTTGTCTATGGACAATTCTGTAGAACTCTAATTTCACACGCCACAGCTCGGATCTAAGTTTGGTTCTGAAACTACTGCTGCTGCTCTGTGATGGTTTGATGTGATCCAGAGGAAGAATAAACAGATAGAGGTGGCTTCATGAAGAGTCAAGAATGCTCTGGGTGTTGTTGGGCACATCAGTATGGTTCGGTCAGTTCTGCAGCTACTGGACCTGTTGGATTATGTGCGGACAAGTCGGAGTAGGTGAACTAACCTGGTGGGAGACTGTGGAGCTGAACATCAGATCAAGATTCCTCAACCAAGTATCAAGACAGAAATCAAGAAAAACAACAAGATACCCAACACAAGGTACACACACAGATCACACATCATAGCAAAGTCAGATGTTTTAATGTTCGTACAACCACTTGTTCCAAAACACTCACCTGCTGTGTGATGATATCAGACACACTGAACCTTATTGCAGGTTTTTCTCGTGAGTAAAAAAATCTGTCAAAAATATTCCAGATGTGTGGTTCAGCTGTCATAGAGGTGTTTTTTGTCCATATTTAACATGTGATCTGTTTGTCTGTGTCCATACACAGTGAATCCTGAATAAGGACCACTGCTGTGTAGTGGGTTGAAGAGAGAAAACAGCAAACAAACATGTTTGTTTGTTGGTCTTAAACTGAGATGACCTTTGTTGTGCTTCTCAAAGCAGCACTCCTATACTCTAATGTCACACTTCCATAAAACTGGTGGACTTGCAAAAGACGGACAGCAATCCAGAGGCTGCAAGGCGATGCTTCAGGGAAAGACAAGACAAGGAACGAGCCGGTTCTGAACTTCAGGACACAGGAACTGGGGACTAGCTTTCTCAGAAGGTAGATCTGGCAAGACATGAGTAGGGTGGAGGCCAGCAAACTTAGTAGCTTTAGCTGGTGGAAACTAGAAGATACGTGGTTACCCAGCTCAGAAACTGGAGCTGGGAGGCAAAGGACGAAAAAACTGGTGGTCAGGAGTCATGGCACCCATAAAAACTACATCTTCTGGTGATGGCCCTCATGTCTGGCTTGTAGTCTATTTCACCAAAAAAGTGCCACCAGTTGGCACTCAGCACCTTGTAGACTAGTTATACACACAGGGGCTGACTGGGAGATGATGCACAAACCAATGAGGGTGGGGCAGACAATCAATAAAAAATTAAAAAATATATTCTTGTGTGTTTGGAAAGCTCACCTGATTGAGCAGACGACCAACAGATCAGGGCTAGGAGTCCCCATCATGGTAGTCATGGGTTGATTCTGACCCATGGCATGATGTGCTGAATGTCATTTGCAACTGAGAAGTTGTTACTGACTCAGCTGAAACCAGCAGTTACATGACAAACATTTTTGGACTTTTTGGCTGAACTGGACTGAGAGCAGACAGAAGAGAAGGATGGAAACAGATTTAAAAATAAAGTAATAAAATATCTACTTAGGTCTACCTATCTATCTACTGGAGCTACTATTTCCCCCCAGTGTTGGTAACAACAGTGGCCACTTGCAAAAATGGACATATTGATCCCATCCATCATCTCTGCATCTTAATCCTCACTAGGGTCATGGGGGGCTGGAGTCTATCCCAGCTGACTCAGGGTGAAGGCAGGTTCACCTGGACAGGTAACCAGTCTATCTCTACACTTAGAGACAGACAACCAAGCACACTCACACCTACGGACAATTTAGAATTAACCTCAATTAAACTGTGTGGGAGGAAGCCAGAGAACCCGGAGAGAACCCACGCTGCACGGGAATAACAACTCCACGCAGAAAGATTCCGGTACCCCCACCGGGACGCGAACCGGCAACCTTCTTGCTGCGAGGCAAGAGTGCTACCAACTGCGCCACCTTGCAGCCGTTTATTCAACCTTTGTGAACTAAATAATTAAAGACATGAAGCCTTTGTTTCTCCTTTGGTCCTAATTAACGGCATCACAGCTCTGTTATGCTGCACAACAGACATGTCTGTGTTCTCTCTACTGTTGACCATGGTTTGGTTGGTTTTAATAGAGGTGCAAGACTTCAGAAAAACATGAGCCCACGGTTGAGCTCAGCAGGTCTGTGGAGCTCAGCAGATGTAATGCGTGTGCCTGCCTGCAGGCGGAGTGAGGAGCCCGCTGGAGCCCGCTGGACCTCCAGATGGGAGGAGATTCTGGGGCTTTGTTGTGATAGTAAAGGCTCCACCACGGTCAGCGCTTTCTCTTCGCCGGGTCACGTTTTTCCATCCGCTGGTGGAAGGATTTGAAGTTTAGAGAGAAACAGGAAGGACGCGACGCGTGAGAGGAAGCGTTTTAAGGTGAACGGCCTCACATGCTCTGCATCCAGCGGACCAGATGAGTGCTGTTGGTAAGATTCACAGAAACATGACGGATCGGTTCGGTTTTATGGCGTCTGGTTGCACAAACCAAAGAAATGATTAGTTCTGAGTTGGATCAGCATGGAGGTGAAGCAGCTGCAGCTTTTCTGACCCTGATGGCAGCATCCGGTTAAAGCACCGTGAAGTGTTGACCAAGTGTTAGAAAGTTCAGGTCCCACGTGTCTGATCAGGTCTGGATCCTCTGTTTTAGACACTAAAACCGGAACTGTGGCAGTTTAAGGTCACACTCTGTGGTCTACCTGGCAGTGTCTGGGCTGTAGATCTGAACAAGGAGAACAAAACACACTCACATGCACACAGTCCTGATTATGAGGAGCAGCTTGGTGTGTTTGATGTGAAGAGCACACCTGAACATATATGGATGGAACTGCATGTGAACTGAGTACTGAATAGGTGTGTGTGTGTGTGTGTGTGTGTGTCCAGATCCAGTGATGGTCTGCTGTAGGATGCAGAGGATGAGGCTCCAGGTATCTGAAGATCTACCCCCACCAACCCGTCTGTGAGACTCCAGGTGGACATCAGACCTCGCTCTGACCTTAAATGTGACTGAAGCCGGACCTCCTTGTTTCTGCTGAGATGGAGAAACGCAGCCTCCTGTCCTTCACGGTGACCCTGCTGGGTCTTCTGAACCCGTGTCTGACCAGACTGCCCCCCAGAGTCTCGTTTCCTATCGGTGAGTGAAGTCAACACAGTTCAACAGCATCCTTTCTTCATGCTACCTGTTGGTGATGTCACTGCCATGCTGTTCTCATACAGCCACAGACAGCATCATGCTTTTCTCACATTATACTGGTTCAGCATCAGCTGTGGTTGAGCAGCTTCATGTTTGACACTGGAAGGCACACAGCCTGTTGCCACATAATTTTAAGACCAACTGCACCTCTGTTCTTTAAAAAGGCCCATGTTGGTGTGGCCAACAAGATGGCAGCTTCTACGCCCATAAAGAAAAGATCCAACAACTCTGAAAATAGGTTCATAATAATCAGTTTTCATCTCTTAACACATAAAGAACATAATACACAGTGCTGTACCTGGTATCAGCAGTGATGCTCACAAACCTTAAAAATATTTTGCTTACAAACTCTTTGGTGGTGAATTACCAGAGACGTTTAAGGCTCTTTGAGCAGTGGATGCTCTGGGCAGCCTGGATGCTTTTAACTGTCAGTGGTTCCTGAATGAAAATGCCTGATACCAGTTCTGCTGAACAACAGGTAGTCCTGGAAGAAGTCTCACCCGCTTCAGCAGCCACGATGTCAGAAACACCACCACGCTGCTGCTGAGTGATGATGGAGACGTGCTGTATGTAGGAGCCAGGGATTCTGTGTTAGCTCTGGACGTTAGCCACGACAACGACATCATACTGAAGAGCAAGGTAGTACTGATCATCAGCAGCTAAACACTAGTCCTTCACAGAGAGTGCTGCACGCTGTCTAACTTTCAAAAATACATTTACAGCTGCGATCAAAAGTTTCCTTGTATAGACCACGTATGTCATGCACCAGCTTTGTAAAGACGAGTGGTCAACAGTACGACCATAATCTGGAGCTTGGCGATGGCTACGAAAAAGGACCTGAATTAGGTGAAAATGGTCAACAGACATTTAACCAAATATTAGACATACTGTATGGCTATTGCTGACCTAGAAGATTTTGAACCAGGAGGACAATAGGAGTTGAACCATTCTGTGTAAACACTTCTCTGTTGTCGTCGAGCTAACTGTGACCCCTTGCACTACTGAGTTCCATTCCTTGACCGGGTTTTGAAGCTGATGTTTGTCATTATTTATCTACCTGTGGAGGTGTGTCATTCACCGATACAGTGAAATGACTTCTTCCTTTCCTTGCTGTCAGTTCTGTGGTTGTAACAGTCACTCAGCTAAAACTCTGAACCGTTTAAACAGTTTAACTAGTTTGATGCTGGGCCGTGTGACTCCACAACTCAATCAATGGAAAAGCATGATTTTAGGCTTTCATTCTCTCATGTTTGCAGTCCACTGAATTATAAAGTTAAAGAACTATAACAGCTCCCTGGTCCTGTGAGGTCTACTGTCAGTTTATTGGAGTTTGTGTCTTTTCTATCTGAAAGGATTTGTATTTAATCACCGTGAGGAGCTCGTGGTTTCAGATGGACTGAACCGCTCTGATGGATTTTGTTCTCTGATCTTCTTTCAGATGGACTGGAGCCCTTCAGACAAAGACCTTGAACAATGTTCCATGAAGGGCAAGAAAATGGCAAGTCGCTGATTTGTATACACATACTGTGAACCTATTGGATAGCAACCAAACAGTAACATATAGCTCCCATTTACACTGTCAGCACTGAATGAACAGGTCCAGCATTAATCACCAATCAGCAGCTGTATGTTTTGGTTTTATTAACACGTCTAACTTTCTGTCTTCTGTGTGGTTGTTCCAGGCCGACTGTCCCAACTTCATCCGAGTGCTGCAGTTCTTGAACTCTACGCACCTCTATGCATGTGGAACATTCGCTTTCAGTCCACGCTGTGTCTACATCGTAAGTTGTGTTCATTGGGATTCATTTATACAGTGTATGGACATCATAAAACAGTCAAGATAGACTATATTGGAGCAGAAGGAGAAGTGGGCTCATAGGTAAGTCAGTAATGAGTGTGTCCATAGTTTACACAGTGCCACATACAGTCAATAGGTTTGTCTGTGCTGCTTTTGGAATAGTTTTGTGAAGGGCTTGAGGAAGTTGGCCGACATTTTGGGGAAAGGGTCGTGCTGTTGGATGCATTCAGGATGTCCAGAGGACATGCAAACATGGCACAGTTTCAAACGAGCGGTTTATAGTCTGGAGCCATGTGGAGGTGTGTCTTGTTGAACTGATGGAGGTGAAGGATAACCACGAGTGGAGGATGAGCGTTTCATCTCAACAGTGTCAAGCATAGAGATTGCTGAAAGAACTCAATCAGCAAAAAGGACTTTTCCCATCCTGCTGGTGTCCAAGAAACATGAGCGGCTGCTCACTGGAGCTGGTCCAATGACAAGAGGTGGACTTGTGAACGTTCAAGTGCCCGGCTGTGGCCCTAACAACACATCCTCATCTTTCTCTGCATCGCTGGCATCGTGTCATTTGAATAAAGCTGCATTTTAGGGCAGCATTATAAAATGACTGGTTGACTAAGTGTCTGTGTACTGATCAAGCAGTCCAACACCTGAGTAGGGTCTGGATTAACTCTGTGGCCCAAATAAACAGCTCAGAAATGTTTTGGGCAAAATTGACTAAATTGACCCATTTTCTAACCTGAGGAGGAAAAATAAGATTTTTAAGTCAGAAAAGAATTCTATTTACATTTACTAATGAGGGATTTTTAACAGTTTAAAGGAGACAGCCAGACTCCGTTTAGGTTGCATTTGATGTTGTCTCAGTTTTCCGTTCATATTTTAGTTCAATAGCAGCTGGACTTTTTTTCCTCTTTTCCGTCCAGAACTCAGAAACATTAACGATGAGCCTCAGGCCTGATGAAGGAAGAGGTCGCTGTCCCTATGACCCCTACCAGCGCAACACTGCCATCGTCGTGGGTAAGTCGGTGATGCTGCAGCTGCTTCTATAAAATGATGGCTGACGCAGGTTTAAACAACAATCTGGTTACTGCTTAGTGTATGTGGAAAAATCTGTATGAGACTCAGTAGTGGTTGTTACAGAGCACAAAAGTCTTATGTGATCAAAAACTGACCACGTTCGGGTTCTCCGGCTTCCTCCCACAGTTCACAAACATGCTGAGGTTAATTGGTGATTCTAAATTGTCCGTAGGTGTGAATGTGAGTGTGCTTGGTTGTCTGTCTCTAAGTGTAGCCCTGTGACAGACTGGTTACCTGTTCAGGTGAACCTACATTCACCCTGAGTCAGCTGGGATAGACTCCGCTCCCTAGTGACCCTGGTGAGGATTAAGGTGTAGGGATGGATGGATGGATGGATGGATGGATGGATGGATGGATGGATGGATGGATGGATGGATAGATGGATGGATGGATGGATAAATCTGCACTCAGTATTCCTTCATGACAGAGAAAACCTCAAGTATCACCAGGCCGTTAACACTCAGACCCACTACTCAGTATTAAGTATGAAGCATTGAAGGTTAGTGTTCTGGGTACAGTTAGTGCACAGCCTTGACAGAAATGTTGGATTGGACTCATGTCAGGCTTGACCACTTACAGACGGTGTTGAAGCCACTCTAGCTCTGTTGGGCTTATTGTTCTATTGGAAGGTGAATCTCTGGCCCAGTATGAATATTGCCAGGTGTTTTTCTGCTTCCCAGATGGAGAGCTTTATACAGGAACTGTGGCAGACTACAGAGGGAACCGGCCGGTCATCTCCCGGTACCTCAGCGAGGGCAGGCGTGTTGACTTGAAGTTAGACGACACACTAGGATGGCTGGAGGGTGAGTGTGTGTTCCACAGACACTAACATGGCATTATGCTTTTCTTACTTCAGTGTTAAAAATGTCTTCAGTTATGTTGTATTAGTAGATCAGAATCCTTCCTACATTCTTCCAGAATCTTAAACCTTCAACATATTTTGTTTGCCATAGATCCAACCTTCATCAGCTCTACCTTCATTCCGGATGAGGGGAAGATCTACTTCTTCTTTAGCGAAGTGGGCAGAGAGTACAACTTCATAGACAAATTTATCGTCTCACGCATTTCTCAGATCTGCATGGTAAGTTCAGCACAATGAACCTCATAGAAACAATGAAACACCTGCACATGAATGAGATGAATGATAGGGGTGTAAAGAGTCACCGATATGAAAATCAGTTTTAACTTTAACGATATGAATACATCGTCCGGACAGATGTAATATCAGACAGAATTAACCCACAAAACCAAAATGCAGTTTTTAGATAATGATTTATGGAAGATTTATCGAAAACTGCTGACACCCCTGTGAAACCCTGGGCAGCAACACCGGCAGGTAAACATCTGTAGTAGCTTGTGATCAGTGTTTTACATCGCCATGGAGGGATTTTGACCCCCATCTTCTCTGCAGAATAGTTTTGAGCATGAACTGCCCTTTTAATGTCTCACCACAACATCTGAGTTGGATCCAAGTCCAGATTTTGACTCGGCCACTCCAGAACCTTCATTTTGTTCTTTTTGAACCATTCAGAGGTTGACCTGTTCATGTGTTTTGGGTCGTTGTCATGCTGCAGAGCCCATTTGAGCTTTTGGTCATGAACTGATGGGTGGATGTTCTCCAGGCGAGAGAAGAATTCATGGCTCCATCAGTTATGACAAGTGGTCCAGGTCCTTTGACTCATCAGTCCACAGGATGTTATCCCAGAAGTCTCGGGGCTCATCTAGATATTGTTTTTTTTTTTTGCCAGTGCCAGACAAACCTTTATGTTCTTGTTGCTCAGGAGTGGTCTGCACCCTGCAGCTCTCCCACTGATGCCGTCTTTGCCCAGTGTCTTCCTGTTTGAAGGCTGATGTGCTGTGTTTTGCTTTCATGCATCAGAGTGATGTTGGAGGTCAGCGGACCCTGCAGCGACGCTGGACCACGTTCGCCAAAGCTCAGCTGTTGTGCCAGGCCGACAACGAGCTGCCGTACAATGTGATCCAGGACATAGACACCCTCCCTCCAGCAGATGGCGCTCCTGAGGACGACACGCTCTTTTATGGCATCTTCACCTCCCAGTGGTTAGTAATGGCACACAGAATGTAGTCTGGGAAGCACTAGCACTGACTCTGAGGAAACTCACCTGAAGTTTGACCAAAAAAATATGCAGACTAAAAGGACATTTGGAAAAAACAATGTCAAACTTATGTAGTCAGAAGCCCTAAATTAGCACATTCTTTCTTATTTTATAATCTGCAAAAATCACATTCAGAATCTGTTGTATTTTGTGGTAAACCTGGAAATATTTCAAGTCTAAGGAACATTTAAAAACAAGAGGTTGAGCCCCAGTAGCTCAGCTGGTTGAGCAGACGACCCATGAATAGGGGCTGAATGCCGCCGATACAGCGGCCATGTATCCAGACAGACTTCACCCTCTCTTCTCCTCTACTGCTCCTGTCTTCAGCGTATCAGCAATAAATCCAAAAAACCTTAAAAAAAAAAGAGCTATTCAATGAAGAACCTATTTATAGTTTAGCAGTCAAACTAAAGCAGACTAGTCGTGAACATATTGAATGACCGTTAAACTCTGATCTGAAACAACATTCTTTGGAGGACAGCTGGAGCAGCTGGAGGCGTCACTGCTCTGACCCACTGCTGTCACGTGCTCATATATCTGAAACACAACTTGTTGTGTTCTGTAGCGTTCTGTGGATTCAGTCATTAATGCATAATGTCTTTCATGTTTGCACCTAGGTCTGTCAACTCTGGACGGTCAGCAGTGTGTTCATTCCGCCTGACCGACATCAAATCAGTGTTTGCTGGTAACTACAAAGTCCTGAACAGGGACACGTTGCAGTGGAGGGCATGGGTTCAAGAAAAGGTTGCAAATCCAGGAGAGGTAAATGCTCACTTCTGATGTATTGATGTAAAGGAACTGGGGCAGAATGACTTATTGGGTCCTTGAAAGTGGAAAAATTTTCAGTTAAGACTATAAACCAGCAAGAACTGCTTGCAGATAGACAATATCTATTTATTTTTATAAACTCACATTCCAACCTGTCTGAGAAAGCCTTAGTTTGTTTACCAGGTGTTGATGATAGTGATGATGATGATGATGATGATGATGATGATGATAGTGATGATGATGATGATGATGATGATGATGATGGTGGTGGTGGTGGTGACGGTGATGATGGTGATGTGATGGTGATTATGGCTACAAATACTTAATCAAAGTGAGATTAATATTTTAATACAATAAAACTGTGAAAGTTTAAAACTGACATTGTGTATTTGTGTGTGACAGTGTGGCCTCCACAATGCCTCCGACAACGCCCTGCGCTTTGTCAAAGAGAACTTCCTGGCGGATGAAAGCGTGCGACCGGTTGGAAGAAGCCTGACCCTTGTGTCTGCTGAGCACAACTACACCCACCTGACTGTCCAGAGAGTCCAGGCGGCCAACAGCAGACACTACACTGTCCTGTTCTTGCTCACCGGTAAGCCCTGAATCAGAGCAGCAGGATGCAACTTGTATTATTTTAAACAAACACAAATTTTTCACAACTCATTACCTGGTCATCAAATGACGGTACAAGGTTTAGTGCTTCTTTAATGAGATGCCTCTCAGGACATCTACGTAAACAAAGATGTGTTTAGCTCATGAAGGTAAGTGGGTGAGTGTCTACAGTGTACAGCAGAAGTGAGTTCACCCCTTTGCAATTTGATTGTGAATTATTCAAAAATGTACCACCTTAACTGTATTATGCGATACTTCTAAGTTGGACACATCCTGGGAATAGAGGTGGCGATAGTAGAGCGGTACAATACCTGGGTGTTTACTTTGACAATAACATCAACATTAAATAGGGTGAAGATACCTCTTGTGTTATCAAACCAGCTCTAACGCTTCCCTGTTAGTGGTTTAATGAGAACACAGGCGACACGTTACCATCAAAACACTGATTTTCTGTCTGTCAGTTTTGCTCCATTACGTCTGTCCACTGTGTCGACATTAACTGTCTTCTCTTTCTGTTTTTCAGAGTCTGGTTGCTTACACAAAGCAGTGCTGCTACAGAGTGGGGCCCACATCATTGAGGAAGTTCAGGTTTTTGAGCAACCTCAGCCCATCAAGAGCTTGAAGCTCTCCATTCCCAAGGTGCACACTGTGACTGACATTTGTTTTGTTATTTAGTTCAAGTACGAGCTTTAGACTAGATACCTTTCATGTTTATTTTGTATCTATATGTAACATTACATTGTTATTTGTAAGAGTTTTGATTCAAGATATTTATAACAGTCAGACACTCACCAGTTCTCGACCGGCCTCTGTCCACTTCGTGTACAACCTCAGGGTGCTGGACTATGTATACGTTATTCCCTATGGCGATAGCATCGTTGTTGTACCTCGCTGATCTCTAGTTGTGAGAGCAGTTGCCGTTTGAGGAACACTTTGTTGGAATACTAGGCTAGTAGCTGTTTCATGGTTAATCTCAAAGTCGAGTTTTGAAACATCCAGTTGTCCCACAACATTCTTCTGTAACCCTTCTCGCTTGGGTTACGTCACTGGTAACGTCTCATCAGCTCCAGGTTCCCGTCTCTAGTCCATCTATGCCTTGCTCCTTGTTTTATTCACCATCAGGGCACCCTGGTTCCTTCGCGCCTGATACGGCACCTTGTTAACCAGGTGATGTCCAAGCCGGTGTGACTCTCAGATTCCCTCATATGGAGCTAGGCAGGTGGGGCAGCATTAAGGACACCTGTGCCCTGACTGGGATTTGAATCCTCAGTGATGACGTTGTTGTCTTGGTCATCTCAAATACTCTAACGGTGATCATTGCTTAAACTGTTCTGATTGTGTTTCCCTGCAGGGTGTGATATATGTTGGCACATCAGAGGGTGTGGTGAAGGTTCCAACGGCCAACTGCTCTTTCTACTGGACCTGTGCTCAGTGTGTTCTGGCCCGGGACCCCTTCTGTCATTGGGACCCTGTCAGCAGGGCCTGTGTGGTGGTCTCGAAAACCCACACCCCTCTGTGAGTACGACAACACTTTGTCATTAGTTTGTTGAAAGTGTACAGTACAATCTGGAGAACATCTAACTAATCATACCAATAGACCGATAAAAATGCTCTGAGATCTTTTGTAGTCTGATAGAGAAACTTCAAACTGATGAAAATGAATTACATGTTAAAAACTTTTATAAAATGCTAAAGAGGAAAATATTATGTACCCTTCGTATAATCGACAGGTAGACTTTTATCTTAACGAGATATGACTTCAAACTTTAAATTGAAATGGAAGAGATGGTGAAAAAACAAAATGAAAAATGGTTGTGGGTTGTGTGAACCATTTTTGCCTGTAGAGCTGCACTGAGGTAGAACAGACTTCCTCGGTGCTGTCCCTACCTACAGGTTGTAGCTAAGAAAAGAAAACAAAGAGATGAGAGAGCGTTTCTAGTCAACGTTTAGGAGGATTTAGGAGGAAAAGTTGTGTCTACATTCACCGCTGACTGGAGTCTTACCTTACAGAGGCCAGGACATAGATGGGGGCAACGTTGAGGAGGCGTGCAACAGCGTTTCTTTAACACGTAAAACCAGATTTGGTCCAAGCAAGCTGCCTGCAGGTAAGTGTCATTTCTTTCCTAAAAGGTCCCATATAGGTTAGTATCCTTGGAAATGAAATATAGAAGCTCTGAGAATGAACAAAAGTTTGCATACAGTTGTAAAAGACCTGGCAGAATGTGCTGGGTCAAAACTATAAATACAGCAGTTTGAATGATCCAGAAAGTTGTGTGACATGTTCTTAGTGGCTCGACCTCTCTGAGCCAATTTAAATAGACACTCAGTAGACTCACTACGATGGGAAAGTCTACGGAGCTGCGTACAGAAGAAGAAGAAGAAAGAAGAAGCAAATCACTGACTGAACACCGTCAGGAAAGTCACTTAGAGCCATTTCTGAAACACTGTATGGCACCGTTATGTCATGATCAGGAAGAAAATGCTATCATCTGCTGCTCAGAGACAGTTGGTAAGGGCGGTCAAGAGTCCACCAAGAACCACCAAAAAGCAGGTCTACAATTAATTACAAGCTGCTGGAATATAGGTGTCCACAGTGAAGCTGAGGACACCAGAGAAGTTGTTTTTAAAGGTATCTGCTGTGCCATCAGGACTTAAGCCCAAAAGGAGAAAGGTCCAAAGTGTAGGGGCTGCCAGTGGAAAGGCAGAGTCGTCTTTAGTTCCCAGCCTGTAGCTGATAGTCTAAATGATACTGAATGAATTAATGATTTAGGTTGCTGTTGCCTCTTAATGTGATAACCCATGACACTGTTTACAAGGTTGTGGACAGGTGTGTTTTGTTGGAGAACGTGGCGAGCTGTAATCTGTATATCAGCCTCGTGTCCTGCAGGTGAGCTGGTGTCGGTGTCTCTGAACGAGGTGGTCCACATACAGTGTCCTGCGGCGTCGCAGCTGTCCCAGCAGGTGTGGGAGCGTCCCAACAGCAGGCTGTCCTCAGACCTGTACCTTTTCCTGGAGGATGGGAGTCTGAGCTTCGTGGCCACCCCTGCCACACTGGGCCACTACCTTTGCCTGTCCATTGAGAATGGCTACCAACAGACTATGGCCATCTATCATGTCAAACAGAAGAGCAGCCCCATGACTCAAAGCCCAACCAGGTTCCCCGGCCCTCAGACACACCCCATACCCACCACACAAGCTGTGACCCGGCATGGACCTGGACTGCACACCTCTGTGGGGACCTGGCCTAAAAGAACAGAATCAAGACAAGAAGAGACGAGGCCAACACTGTCCATCAGAAACACTCAAGTCACCACGAGACAGCTGGGCAGAAACCTCGTCCTGTGGACAGAGACATCTGGACAGAAAGAGACTGACCTTCACGGTGGAGAGCCCTTGCTGGCAGCCCAACGCCCATGCTACCTGAAGGAACTGGTGGTTGTGTCGGTTCTTCTGGTGCTCTGCCTCAGTCTACTGATCACGATGGTTCTGTATGGGCTCCGACAGCGATGCCGCAGCAGAACAGCCCCCCAGGCAGGACCTGCAACTAGAGATTCTGACAGAAGGACCCCTGTGGAGCAGGAGGCATTAAATGGAAACGAACTCTTGAACAAACACAACGGACAAGCGCGACATGGTGAACGGGTCAGTGGGCTATTTTGTAACGGGGCGCTCACAGGCCCTAACGGACATTTGCCCAACACCCCATCTGAACAGTCCTAGGCATTTAAATTGTTTTAGATGAAACTAGCAGTGAGGGGAGTTAGCATGGCGAAGACTACCCAGTGGGAGGTACAGCCAATAAGAAGGTACAGACACTGTGGACTGTTATCCTCACATGTGACATGATGAAAGACAATCTCCTGGAGGTACTGAAATGAAAACACAAAACTGTTCAAGGTCCAAGACACATTGGTTTTCCTGTGGTCTTTTAACTCATTAGGGTAAGATGGTCAAAGGATCAGGGTATCGGTACGGTAATTTCTTTGAATGTTTTTTTATAGACTAGTCTAATGAAACACCAATGAAAAAATTAGATATTTTAAAATTTACACCAGAGTCTGTGTTGATTGTTTATGCAGAATCAGATCTATGTATGTATCTCCAGTGCTTATATTCTTCTTATTTCCTCGCACAACACAATTTCGAAGAACCGTAATTGAGATTATATTCAGTGGCACAGTTCTCCCTGTCCAGTAGGTACGGTGTCGTTTTAACACAAAGAAGCCATCAGTAGGTGGTTCGACTCTTTTCTTTTGTTTGTGACGTGATGTAACACACAAACAGTGAATGTGCCTTGGCAGCATTTTAGATGATGTTCTGATGGAGCTGTTGATCAACTCACTGGTTTCCTTTGCGTTGTGCACCTTTGACCATTTGAACACCTCAATAAACATGAACCCACCACTGTAGTGATGGCACAGGGCTGTCTTTTGATAGGTTCAGATGCACTTCAGTAAACAGGACGGGGTTCTGATGTCGAGTGATTCACTAAACGTTGTATAAACAAGAAAACTGGGCTGCTTCTTGTCTGCCTTAATGTCTCCTCACTCTTTGAATAAGTTGGTCTGCCGTCGTTAAAGATGGGCAGGGAGGGCCCAAAACTGATTTAAGATCAGATGCTAAGTTGTTCTACATGTTTTTATATGGGAGTAATTTCATTAGATATTGCTGTATTTATATGTCTTATTGTAGAAGAGAAAGCATAAATGTTAAGCGTGTGCACCCATGTGTCTATCATTTTATTTAGTAGCTTGGAGGAGGTGATGCTCATGTGAAGTTTCACACAGAAACATCCCCACAGAGATGAATGAATGAGGATATGAATGAATTAATTACACAAGATATCATGTCAGAAATGTCTTTAAGGTTCAAATCAAGAATACCACAGTTGATCTGATGTTGGCTGTAAGTCCTCATTGGAATGTGATGACATGGACAGACTGTCAGCAGCTGCAGCCTCCTTAAAAAATGCCTCCTAGTTCCACAGCATGGCCCCAGTCCCAGCTGTCATAACAAGACGAAGGAATTGTGGCTCGCTCAGGAGCTCACCAAGAGGACTCTGGCTGAAGTCATGTTAGTTGTTAATGTGTGTCACCTTAACACATGCATGTGATGACTTAGAAACAGCTCTACCACTGACTCTGACAGAGGCACTGGGCCGCCCACTAGACAGTTAAGACGGGTTAAATGGACCCCTATCAAAAATAAAAGTAAGAGCAGCAGTTAAAGAGAAGCTATATACAAGTATACATCATAAGAATATATAGCTATGTTTTCCTAAGGTTGCTGTGTGTTCATCCCAAACAACACGGCTCCTGAACTCGAGCTCTTTCGGGTCTTAAAACCATGTCTGAAGAGTTAACAGAACATTCAGGAGTTGCTGATAGTGCCCTCTCTGATTGGCTAAGCAGAAACTTTGGAAAGTGGAAAATGGTAATTGTGTGCGTTTAATTAAACTTTCAAGCAAAATAGAGATGGAAGAGGAGAAGGTCCTTGATGATTTCAGATGGAAAAACATTTTAGGCATGTTGTCACGTCGATGGACCTCGAAGAGGTTAGATTACAAATGTGAGGGTCTCGTTTTAATTTTATTAAATTTATTTAAAAGAACAGCGTAATTAACGTCACCATTTAAGGCACCATAGAGAAAATATTACACAAGACACACCAACATTTTGTTAGATCTGATTCATTAAGACCATAGGATAGAATATCTAAGACTTTTATTTTTAACTACGGCACAGTTAATGCATAATGCAGGGTTAGCTGTTACACTATGTATGAAGGGACCATGTTACGTAACGATGCTCAGCATCCTGCAGCAGCTCCTCTCTTCTCCTCTCCTCTCCTCTCCTCTCCTCTCCTCTCCTCTCCTCTCCTCTCCTCTCCTCCCCTCCCCTCTCCTCCTGCCAGCCTGTGAGCCAGTCTCAGAGAGGCTGGCTGCACCAAACTAGGCCATCTGATGAAGATGATGACAACATCTTTGGACGTCCTGACGAAGAGGAGCAGCATCACCTGCATCAGGCCGATGAACAGGGTGGTGGAGGAAGTCTGTGCTGCCCTCCCACAACCCAAGGCAGCATTTGCAGGAAACCGGACTCTGTGTGACCAGTGGAGTGAAGAGAATACAGCGTCCCTTCTGTGTCCGTCACCCCAGCTGTGGGGGAGTGGCAGGAAGGAGGAGGTCAGCTGCTGTCCTTCACAGCCCTCCATCTGGACAAGCTTCAGGCCACAGGGAAAGAAGCAGTCTACCAGACCTGCGTTAAGGTTTTGAACCTGCAATCTTTGGCTGGGATGAAGGAGTCGAGGTGGACCGAGTTTTTTGGTCCAGATGGTCCCTGTACAAGCTGCCTGTTGAAAAGCGGACAGCAGACCTCCAGTGGAGGGTCGTACGTGGGGTAATCGCTACAAACAGATACAGGGGGCACCTTGATCCGGAGCTGAGGGAGGGGTACACTTTCTGTTCTCAGCTTGAGACCCTGGTTCACTTGTTTGTCCAGTGTCCTCGGCTGGCAGCACTCTTTGAGCTTTTAAAAAGGTGGCTTCAGGGTCACGGGGAGGATTTTTCTTTTGACTTGTTCATTTTTGGTCCAAAATACTGCACAAAGAAAAAGACAGTACACACATTGGTGAACTTTTTATCAGGTACTGCCAAGCTGGCCATGTGGCTGACACAGAAGAACCAGGTTCAGAGTGCTGGCTGTGTGGATCCAGTGCTGGTATTAAGGGACTGCTGAAGGCTCGACTGAGGGTGGAATACACACACTTTCAGATGATGCAGGATATGCAGGCCTTCAGTCAGTCATGGGCTATTGGGGGGTTTATGCTCTGTGGGGGAGACAGAGAGCTGATTGTTGATCTGTGTCCGTTTGGTTGACTGGGCTGTTGTTGTTTTAACTGTTTTTCACCTGAAGTGAAGATGATCTGGTTTGTCTTTGCAATGAAATAAAGGGACTTTTGAAAACCAAACCTCTCCTCTCCTCTCCTCTCCTC